GGTCCCCCCCCCCTACTCCTACCCCCCCTCCCCGTTCCCCCCCCCTCCTACCCCCCCCTCCCCCGTCCCCCCCTCCTACTACCCCCCCCCCTCCTACCCCTCCCCCCCTCCTACCCCTCCCCCGTCCCCCCTCCCCCCTTTTCCCGACCTCCTCGCGATAACCTCGTTGGCGTTCATGTTGGTCTGCGTGCCGCTGCCGGTCTGCCAGGTCAGCAGCGGGAAGTGGGCGCCCAGGCGGCCCTCCGCCACCTCCCCCGCAGCCGCCATGACCGCGCGACCCAGCTCGGGACGCAACAGCCCCGCCTGCGTGTTGACCTGCGTTTGACACGCGCACAAACATACATATACACATACATGTATACATATATACACACTCGCACAGTCACGGCTTAGGTAACTAAACAGACACATACATACGTACATACACGTCATTTACCCATCCGCGGAAGTGTTTTGGGGGTTGAGGGGAAAAGACGCCGGGGGGTTGGAAAGCTGGACTTGAAAGTCCCGGCTGGATAATCGTGCACAGGAAAAGAGCACGGGGTGAGGAGGTAGATGACTGGGGCAGAGAAGATTGGGAGGGGGGAAAACCAGGGTTAAAAAACCTTACACGAATCTGTACAACACCAACTTTTCCTGCGCTCGGCGGCCAGAGTCTGGTGCAATGACGTTTTCCCCCTACCCCCCTACCCCTCACTTCGTACCAGTCTGTCCACCCCTCCACTCCCCCCCCTCCTACCCACCCCCCTTACCCCCACAACACGTAGTTGCCCAGGCCCCCCTGAAACACGGCACTCTCGAAGCGCTTTGACACCCCCCCCCGGCAGTGTTCCGTACAGCTCCACGCTGAAATGTGCATACACTCGCGCATCAAGACCCTACACACGCACACGCACACGCGCACATACATACGTACATACATGTTGGCTTCATTCTCAGTGCTTTCTTCATCCGGCTTTCCGCTTATCAAAACACACACACACACACACATACACGCACGCACACACGCACGCACACACGCAATCGCGCTCAGAATATGAACACACACATAGACGACATACGCACAGACATACACACAGATATAGACACAGATATAGACATAGACACAGACACACACACACGCTCGGACACACGCACCTCCGCCGCCGCTCTCTTCACCAGCCCCAGCGCCCGGATGAGCGCCTCCGGCACCCGCTCCGTGTGGGGGTCACCAAACTGGAAGTGCTCCAGCGCGCGCTGTGTTTGAGCACCCCAGTATCTGAATACATGGGGTACGGCGTACGGCATAGTGATTTGGGCGGGAATTACGCCACGAAGAAGAGGTAATATGAACTTGACAGCGGGTGGGCAGGCCCGGGTGGCAGAAATTATCAAACAAATTTACAAAATGCAAAAAAACTGCACAACGCGCACAGCACCGCACATGGACTGTCGACGTCCGGAGCACCCAGTGCTTGAGGAGGTGACCGGTGGGTGCGTGGGAGGGATATGGTTTTGACGAGTTTGCTAAACGACCCGGGGGAAGTGGGTAATCCCCGGACACACACACACACACACACACACACACACACACACACACACATCAAGCACAGGGCCGCACCTGTCCGCGGGCACCTCCACTGGACCCATCGTATCCTGTATGGGGTTGGTCGTTGGCCGTTGGTCGTTAGTGGAAGTTGCGAAAGTTGGTTTATGTCTCGTTCTGAGCGGTTGCGGGTGGGTGGGTGGGTGTTGGGTGAGTGGGTGTTGGGTGGGGCGGGTAACTGCACATGTGATGGGTTTGTGGCCTCCGAGGTTCATGTGGCTCCTGTCACACCCTGTGTGGCAACATGGAGACGGTACGACATGAAGCTGCGTGTTCGCGGGGGTGTTTGTCGCCACACTCGTCAGTCCGTCATCCTTTTATGTTCCGTCGTTCGCTCGTACACGACCCATGGGATCCACTGAACCATGTACGACAAGGTCCATTGCCGTACTGCCCAATCCAAACCGCTTGACTGCTCCCCCTGTATGTAGTACGTATACATTTGTAATTGTTATTATTCGTTACGCACCTTCTCAATCCGTACGGCCGTACGGCCGCTACGCGGCCCTTGCCTGCCCCAGCCACTGCTGCTACTGCCGCCATCGTTGCCGACTCCACCCTCGCCGGCGCTGCTGCTGCCGCTGTGAGCGCGAATATGAACATCCGGGCCCCCGCTGGGGCCGCGGGAACGGCAGCCTAGTCGGCAAGATTGAAGGGCGTGTCGTCATGTAGCATAGTTGCACGGCATAGTTGCACGGCATACAGTCGGACTAGCCTCACGGCGTATGGCAGCACGCATATTGATCCATGTCAAAGATGAGGTTATCATATGATGTTCGTTGTGTTGTGTGTCGGGGGGAGTTTTTGGAGTCAAAGCTTGGTGGGCAGGCTATAATACTGCCTTCACTGATAAGCCGCCGAAGTGGGAGATAAAACGAAAGGTCTTCAAAATCATTCTTTTTGTGTACGATTTTGATTTTGATTTGAGAACCAGAGGGAACAGGATTTCATGAGGAAGAGCTTTTCATTCATACGTTTATGTGGCTACAGCAAAAAAGGGCAGTTAAGAAGGGGCAAAACGGCGTCGTCGCAGCCTCATGAACGCAATGCTTTTTCCAGGGCCCTATGGCATCTTGCGCACCACCTCCACCTCCACAAGGGCACACGGGTGATGAGGGTAGGTGAGGGGCGGGCGGGGGGAAGAGTCTGTGATGAGGGTAGGTGAGGGGCGGGCGGGGGGAAGAGTCTGTGATGAGGGTAGGTGAGGGGCGGGCGGGGGGAAGAGTCTGTGATGAGGGTAGGTGAGGGGCGGGCGGGGGGAAGAGTCTGTGATGAGGGTAGGTGCGGTGTGGTGAGGGATAGTTCAAGGTAAGAAGGTAGGGGCTTAGGGCTCGGCCGCCCTACCTACCCACCTTTTCCCCCCACCACCGCCACTGTTTCGACCTCAACCCCGCAACCCCCAGAGTTTTACCTGCTGTTGGACGCGGGGATGACGGCTGCTTGGGCTCCATCGGGGTTCCTGCTGCTGCGGATGCTGCGGATTCTGCTGCTGCTGCTGCTGACGATGATGATGATGATGATGATGGTGACGACAATGGTGACGGCGATGATGTTCCCACGCGACACCCGGGGTTGTCCTTCTCGCTGCCCGGGTCAGCATCATCCCGAGCTCCCCTGGGGGCGAGTGTGTGCGTGAACTTGCCGTAAGGGTTCGCCACGGCCGAGCCCTTCTCCGTCGCGCCTGCAACCAGAGGCGGGATGTGGAGAGACCAGGGCCGCGGGGCCGGGGCCGGGGCCGGACGGAGCGGGCCAGTTCGGGCTGGTGCTCAGCGGGGCTCAGAGGATTGGACTAAAGGGGGGTGGTTGGGCGGTGGTTGGGCGGTGGTTGGGCGGTGGTTGGGCGGTTGGACCTCCGGGGAGTGAGTGTGGGTGTGAGTGTGCGTGTGAGGGAAAACCACGCGGCGCGACATGTCGTTGGTCGGTTCGCGATAATGTTGTTTAGCTTTGCATGGCGCTGCTATTTTCAAATTCTAGAGCTTGGTGGGTTGATTCCCAAACTCTGTCGGGTTGGGCTTCCTTGGCGGTTACTGCGGTTACCTTTTGGGGTGAAAACAGAGCGTTTTTGACGGTCGTGTGAAACCCCCCTTGAGAACGGTATGGTAGTAGGTACCGATATCGACTAAACCAAATGATGCAACATGTCACAACAAGGTCGAGTAATATATTGGTACTTGTAGTGTAAGGTTGGTGTGCCTTTGTTTTATTACGGCTTGGAGCCGTAATGGCTCCCTCCTGAGCGCATCACAAGCCCCGCAGGCCCGTGGGTCGCGGCGCACTGTTGAAGTCTAACAAGGCGGTAAATACCTGCTCCGGCAGGAGTGGAGTTAACCTGGAGGGTTGCATGGCGCCTTGGGTTGGTCAGGGTTATCATGGCCTCTTTCAACACTGCCGCTGCTGCTCCTCCTGCGGCAGTGGTGGCAGCGCTACCGGACCAGTTGGTACAGCAGCGCGCAGACAGGAGCAGCAATCGAGATGGTGAAGGGCCGAGCATCTGCGATGGAAACGGCAACGGAGATGTTTTGGGGGTTAGAGGGAAAATGCAAATGATGGGGGAGCTGATCTGGATTTCCTCGGCACCGTCAACCGGCCGTGGGTCCCCTACTTGTTGTACGTTCCGGAAAGCCCATCCCTTACTGATGACAATTGCCAATAAAATTAATATTTGTTTGAACTTGTAATAATGTAAGGCAGCCTCACCCTGGCTACTTGTTTAGATTTGAGGCACTCCTAATGGAGTTGAAGCAACTGTGTTCCAGTCAAGCCTGCCATTTAGGCAAATAGTGATGAAGAAAACCTAGTCTTTGTTACATTGCTGCTTCACAAATGGAGGGCTCTTACACATTCACTTGCCAATTGTGCCGCGCTCGACTTACCCTTGTGGGCAACCTTGAAGCGGCCGAATCGGTGCCATGGGCAGGAGGAAGGGGCCTCCTTGTGCCCCCCCATCTCAACGCAAGCGTCTTTGACCATACGAATGTCGACGAGTCCTTCATCGTGCTGGACGGCAAGCGCCAGGGTGCGTCACAACACTCGTTTTTTTGCTCCATATCCGTAAATATGATGGATGATGGTGCTCATGCTTCCACAAAAGTCGCTTCCACAAAACTGCAAATCGTCGTTCCGCCATGGATGGTCTGCCCTTCGCTGGAACTGTACGGAAAGGCTCCGGAAAGGAAACTTTTAGACGCGCTAATCGAGGGGCTGGGGGGGGGGGATTATACCCGGCCAAGGGTTGACGTTGCAGAAACCGCCGCACGTGGACATCTAGGACGTGGTGGGGATGGGGTGTTATGTTTGGGTAAGATGAGGTGCGCAATCAATCAGCTGGCGGATTACGGACAGCAGAATATTTACCGGCATCTTTTTACTTTCTTCCCCTGCCGTCCTCTCCTGGTTCTTATTATCCTGTGTCAAAATTTCTTCCCGCGCATCCCACTTTCCAGGCCTGCCCCCAACCGGCGGCGTCCCTCCCTCCTATCAGGCCACCCAACACCAACTACACCAGCATCACCAGCAGCAGCAGCAGCACCAAGGCCCACAGCAGCAGCAGCAGTTGCAACAACAGCAGCAGCAGCTTCAACCCTCGCTGCAGCAAGGCGCTCAGCAAGCCCATTTGCAGCAGCTACAGCAGCGGCGGCAGTCCCCTCCCCAGCAGCTACTGCCGCCGCAGGCACCACCTCTTACCCACCTTCAGCAACAGCAGCAGCAGCAACAGCAGCTACTGCCGCCACGCGGTCTAGAGGAGAGCTTCGTGGTGCTAGGTGCCGCCTCGTTGCTGAGACCGACCCCCGGGTCACACACACCCTACACCAATATGCCCCTGCCATCCGGAGTCAGCGCACTGCATCTCCAAGCCCTCCAACAAATGCAACATCACCACCACCAACAACAACAGCAGCAGCAGCAGCCGGGCGGCCCAGGCGCAGCTGGGGCAGTCTTGTCTGGTGCACAGCAACCCTCGGGAAAGTCGCCGCCGCCGCCGCGGTCGCTGCTATCCCAGCAGCAACAGCAGCAGCAACAGCAACAGCAGCCAGGTGCCTCTAACCAAGTGACGGCAGCCGCCACCTCGCAGACACCGCCGCCACCGCCGCCGCCGGGACCGTCGCAATCGCCCACTACCCAACCTCGAACTCCCTCCTCGAACACCCCCACCCTCTCCTCCACCTCCGCCCAGCAGCAGCAACAACAACAACAGCAGTTCGGCTACGCGCCACCGAGTGCTTCTCCCCCACAGCCGTCTTCATTTCGGCGTGGCGGCACCGCCCCAGTGACGACTGCTAGCGGCGGCGGCGGCGGCGGGGGTTTCTTGCAAGCGAGTACGGAAGTAGAGATGGAGTACGGCAGCCCCGCAGGCGGCGGTGGTGGTGGCGGTCCTGCTGGGTCGGGTCTGGACTCCAAGCTGCAGGCCCTGGCGCACCTCTTTGAGCTGGCATCGACAAACACACAGGTATACACACACACGTTTTCGCGATGTGTGCAGGACCGGTCGCAGTGGGATCCACGGATGGTGGATCCGTGCCCTCTTCCAGTCCTTCCCCCCTACAACCCCGTTGGCCAAAGCCTCATCTTCCTCGGGGCTGGTCAGGGGGTTGGACCGCAGTTTGCATGTATGTATGTATGTATGTATGTATGTATGTATGTATGTATGTATGCATGCCGTTTTTAAGTGGTGCCATTAATGGCGTTCTGTGCTCGTAAACTGTGATTTATGATTTTCCCCGGGGGTTAAAACGCGTCCCGACACGGCACTTGACGTGTGGCCAGGTCGATCACCCACTGTGTATGGACTGCGTGGGGCAGCTTAAAGAGGAGATGGAGGCGCAGGTAGGGCCCCCGGGGGGGGGAGGGTGTAATCCAGGGCGGGAGTGGGAGGGAGGGTTTAGGAGGAAAGGCCACCAAACCAGAAACCCGGGGGCACTATGTCCCCCGGGGGTTTTCCACCCAGCGAGGGGAAAAGAAAGATGTGTGGCTGGGTGGGGGTATGCTGGGGGCATCTGGAGGAGGAGGAAATTGCGGTCCTGGGCTCCGGGTAGGTTTCGGAGCAGAGGGGGGAATGATAGAAGGTAATGTGCGTCTGTATGTTTCGTCGCTTGTTTTTCGTGTTGTAATAAAGTGTGCAAGCCACGGAGATTGTAAAGAGGAATGGCAGAGCGCCCAGGTGGGTGGATCGCTCGTCATTGTTTAGTTTTATGTAATGATAATTTTAGTAAAGCTCATCTCCGTTAAGCGGCACCTGAAAAACAGTCCCCAAGTTTAAACTTTGTTAGACCCGATTCAAAAAAATAAAAAATTCAAATCCTAAATGTTAACTTCCAAACCGTTCAGATTGCGGAGGCCGAGCGGGAAATCGCGGCATACAGTGCTTGTCTGATGCAGCTGGAGGTATCCATGCCTCCTCCGGGGCCGGCGGCGGGTCGTAGCGACAGTGGGGGTAGCGGCGGGGTCCCGACGGCGGCCGTGGTTTCGGAGCCGGCTGTCGCTGCTCGCGACGCTGAGGAGGAGTACCAGCTGGAGGACATCAGCCGCCTGGAGCAGGAGCGCGATCAGGAGAGGTGGGGGGGGGTTGGAAAACCCTTTCACCTCTCCCCCTACCCTATCCATTTTGCAGGCAATCTCCTCCCATCCCTCACCCTGGGGCCATTACCGCGCGCACACACACACACACACATACATGCACAGACACGTGTCACATCCCTCTTTTAGGGTCTTGTGACTTTCCTCGCGTCTTGCAGTCTTAGCTGCTGCTCCACACACACGCTAAGAACACACGTACACCCAAATACCACATCGGAACACCACATCGGCAGTTGATTTTTAACATTTACATGTAGAGTTCCCGCGCACTATGACCACCATAAACACCATTAACGCGTAAAAAATGATAAATGCAGGGCTCGAGCGGAGGTCTTGGAGTCCGAGCTGGCTGTCGTGGCTTCGGAGCTGGCTTCCCTGTCCGCCGCCGCCGCTGACCTGGATTCGTTAGAGGAGCGTTACTGGAACGACGTGAACGACCTGGAGCTGCTGCTGCGAGCGCATACTGAGGAGCGGGGCGCGCTGCTGGCCAAGATCGACAGGGCGGGCCAGCGATTGCAGCTGCTGAAAAACACATCCGTACTGTACGACGCATTCAAGATCTGGTAAGGATGGAGATGAGGATGGAGAATGCGGAGGGGAAGGAGGGGGGGAGAGGTTTTTCCGGGCGGGAAGCTGTCACGTGGGGGGAGTGTTTAACGGTGGGGGGGAGGGAAGTAGGAAGTTCGGGGAAGGGGGAAGCAATGGGTCGAGCTCACAATGCGAGAAGCAGGGGAGGGTAACTTCGGGGAGGCTGGTGGAGGGGAGGGAGGCGGTAGTGGGAATCGTGGGACTATGGCGTCAGAGTGTGGTGTGGGTGAGGCAAGTCGGGCTTCCCCCACGTGTGGCTTCTGGGCGGGAGAGGGGAGAAGACGAACCACGTGAGCGAGTGAAGGTGATGCCAAGGAAAGACTGATGCGCCAGAAGTCGGGAGAGGGGAGGGAGAGTGGAGGAAAACTGGGGACGCGTGTGTGCATACGCGTGTTGTGTTTGGGTATTGGCCATGTTCTTCCTTCTGGTGGAATCCCCACTGCCCCTCGGCCGGCTTCCTTATCCCCCGCCTCCCCCCCCTTCCCACCCATTTCCCCGCCCACCCACCCACTTCCATTGCTGGGGGTGCTGCGGGTGGCGGTATATACACACACACGTACACACACGCGTACACGCACACGCACACGCACACACAGGCACGATGGTCCCTTCGGCACCATCAGCGGCTTCCGGCTGGGTCGCACGCCCGAGGTGCCTGTGGAGTGGGACGAGATTAACGCGGCGTGGGGGCAGGCGGTGCTGCTCCTGCACACCATGGCCCAGGTGATGTTGATGATGATGTTGGTGATGATGTTGGTGATGATGTTGGTGATGATGTTGGTGATGATGATGATGTTGATTGGGTGCAGGAGATGGAAGAAAGGAATGCTACCCGTTGAGCGACAACCCCCCCCCACAGACACAGACACACACACACACACACACGTCTGGTCCACTCTTGATCTGGCAGCAGCTTCACTCGTTCGTGGGTCGTCTTCCCCCCCCCACACACACACACTTTCAATCGGGTGTGGTCGTGCACGTGGTTGACGTTGACAGGAGGCTGTGTTCCGGTTGTGCAGCATTACCTGTACCGCACTGTTTGACCCCTTGACCCCCGGATGAACTGCCCCTCATCACCCTTTTTGCACCTCCACCATTGAGTTGGCCCTTCCGTTGCTGCCGTACCGTTGCTGCCGTACCTATGTGTTTTTCGGCCCGCGGCTTCGCCCGTCCACGAGCACCTCTCCCCTCCCCGCTCTCACGCCCCAGCCGCCCCTTCAACAGCAAGTTGTTTCTATTACGTCTTGACGCATCTCATTTCCCCTTGACCTCGCCCTTGACCTCGCCCTTGACCTCGCCCTTGACCTCGCCCTTGACCTCGCCCTTGACCTCGCCCTTGACCTCGCCCTTGACCTCGCCCTTGACCTCGCCCTTGACCTCGCCCTTGACCTCGCCCTTGACCTCGCCCTTGACCTCGCCCTTGACCTCGCCCTTGACCTCGCCCTTGACCTCGCCCTTGACCTCGCCCTCGGTCCCCCCCCTTGACCTCGCCCTCGGTCCCCCCCCTTGACCTCGCCATCTTTCCAGATGTGCAAGCTGCAGTTCAGTCAGCACCGGCTGCTGCCCATGGGCTCCCACCCTCGTGTGGCGGATAAGCGGGCCACGTACGACCTGTTCGGACCCGTGTCCAAGCTCTGGTCCGCCAACTACGACCGAGCCATGGTGGCGTACCTGGCGTGTCTGCGGGAGTTCGGCGAGCACGCGAAGAAGAAGGACCTGCAAGGCGGTGAGGTCCAGGAGAGGCTGGGGAAAAGAAGAGAACCACGAGCGAGTGTGAAGCTGCTGTCAAGGAAAGGGGGTCAGGGAACCGGGGGTATTCAGGGGCCCCTGGAGCCCTTAGCCATCTAGGAGTAATCTGGGGCGACACCATTCTTGCTGGGAAGTCAGTCGACAGTCGTCAGTCGTCATCTTGATCAGTTTATTGCTCTTCTTGCATGGGACTTCTGGCCTAGGGCGTGTGGTGCGCGCGCTCCGTAGTCATTGGGCCACGGTGTCATATAACCCTTCATGGCACAGGTTGTCCATGCGTCCTTTCCGGCTTGAATTGCCTGCCATCACTTCTGTCTTCAATCCCTCTTTTCTTCCATGCTTTCTAGATGTTCAGGTTTATTTTTTCTGAATTTTTGAGTTGTGACAGATCCGCCCTCTTCTCTAGGGGCCAAAACCCCTCCTCTCCCCAGCTCACATACAACCCCTCACCGTCAACCCGGATACTCTGCAGGCAAGCCCACGCAGTTCAACTTTCCGTTCCCTATCGACGGTGATAAGGTCAATAACCACACCATCAAGCTCACCCTCAACAAGGATGTGCGCTGGACCAAGGCGCTCAAGTTCATGCTCGCAAATCTCAAGGTAAGGCACCATGTAGTGCCCCGTACTGTACGGCAGCGCCGATGGCGGAGGAGCCGAGGTGCAGCTTGCAATTTGGGGCATCCCCAGCAGCTGGGGCGGCAGAGCAGTTTTACCGGTTGAGGCTGGCTGCATGCATGCATGCCCGGTGTTTGGTTTACCTGGAAACACCTCCTCCTCCATTTATATGCACCTGGTTCTCCCAGAAAAAAACTCACATGTTGCAAGCTGTGTGGTGGTAAAAGTCCTGACGCCTAATTATGCAGGCCTGTCCTGTCCTATCTTTATTTTGTCCAGAGTTTTTTTCTGGGGAACCGGGTGCATATCAATGGAGGCGGTGTGTTTTCGCAGCGGACTTGGTTAACCAACCTCAGGCTGCAGCAAACGTTGACTTGCTCTCACCCTTCTTTTGCCCGCCCCGGAATGCGGCCCCCCTCCCCCCCCGGGCCGGCGCGGCGTCTTATTGTCCGCAGATCGCACTTCAGTGGTGTGTGAAGCAGGACCAGAACATCGAGGTCCCTCAGTTGCAGCATCTCGAGCAGGAGGGGCCGCAGTGATGCACGAGCAGTGAAGTCCAGCAAGCTAGCGCTCCGGCTTATGTGTTTGGCATAGTGAGGTTCACATTGCTTATTGATTAATGAGTGTGACGGAGAGACGCTGGAGGCAACGTTGTGTGCAGTGGGCATGACAGTTGCTTTAGGCTCTCGGAGGGAGGGCGTTGATTGAATTTTAATGCATACCGCAGCGTAACCAAGACTATGTTGAGGACTTGGTTGATTAAGGGTGGCACGGTGGCTCGCCGTTCTCCGGGAATTCGTTGGTTGTCGCAAACGCAGATGGCCTGCAAGCAGATGAGGTTGACAAAAGTACGCTGCAACGTTTACGTCGGGTGATACAATTCTGCAGGGTTATACTATGGGAGCGGAAAACGTAATTCCGTCCCATTGGTCTCAGGTGATGGTACAGTAACCAACTGAAATCGGCATGTAATGTGTTGCCCGGTGCTCCAGCATTCGCAGATACAGGTGTTATTGCGATTCTCTAGGTCTACGTCACTTTTTAGGTCACATAGGTTGCAGACGAGTTTGCGTGCTTCTGTGTGAACTTGCGACGTCGAGAACGCGCACCACCACCACGCCTGGCATATATTGGTCTACGTAATTTTCCCCAGGATAAGGCGAAATGTTTCGCAGAAGTGCGCAACGACTTCAGTTGTTGCTGCACCAACAGCAGAATGGCCACGCCAGCGACGAAATCCTATTAGCGGAACGTTTGCTCTCCGGCCGGCTCGCGGGACCCTCTGGAAGCTCATGTATTACAGAAACGAGCTCTATTCTGTCTCGGTTGTACTCGAAGCAAGCTGCTCGCAAGGGCTTGCTCGCCAGCCACTCAGTGTTTCGCACCGGCATACTGAAGCAGGTGTGCTGTTGTAATACAAATGTTTGTTTACATGGGTGTCTTGTAAGATCTGGGACAAGGTTCCGCGGTGTTAAGGTCGCGGTCTCACGCCAAGCCAACGTTTGCAGGAGGGTTTCCTTGCAAACCTGTTCCGACGGTACATGGGCAGCAACGCGCCACGCAAAGGTTAGCATCACCAGGAATAACGTTATTTGTCCCTGCCTGGCGTGGCCGTGGGTGCTAAAAAGCCGGACGCAATGCTGTACGTGCTGCAGGGTTTGAGAACTTCGTCCCGAAGGGGCAGGGCACAGGGGCTTCCAAATCTGCAAAGTCATCTAAATCTGAGGGTAATATCGGCGGCAGCGGCGGCAGCAACCAGAACCGTAATGAGGGCCCGGGTAAGCGGCTGCTGGGTGATTTCCTGGCCCAGGAATCACCATCATTACCACAATCACCATTCCGTGGCATTCCAGGAGGGGACCAACCACCATTTAAATTAGAACCTGCCGGCGCGGACGTACCCGAAGCTCTGTCGTTCTTCATTTCGAAATGCGACCCGTTCCCCTCTCCCATGTGGTCCTCTCTCCTTCCACCCCTTCCCACCCCTCGGCACCCCTGCCTCGCGCCAATTGTCAATTCCTCGTAGCGTGGCTGCTGTTGGCGCCTCGCCTGGTATCTCTCCCTTTTTCTCACGATGCTAATTCCCGCTGATGCTGATGTCGCCCCGAAACCCTTTTCTCCTCTCTTTCCCCCTACTTGCCTTCTTCTTTTTCGCAGATCCCGACTCTCAGAAGTTAGATCTGGGCGCCACCCTCATGAACTCCATGCTGCTGGGGGCCCTATGGCTGCTGTTCGGTCCCAGTCTGAGTGGCGGCAGGGAGGGCGGTGCGCGCACATCCGAAATTTCCTTTCAGGAGTTCCGAAACCAGCTGCTGGCGAATGGCCAGGTGGCGCGGCTGGAGGTGGCGAATGGCAGCATTGTCAAGGTGTGAAGATTTTAACCATACGGTTCCGGTTCGTTCCATTTGGGTTGCGATGAAAGTGGGACGACGACGCGATGATGATGATGATGGTACGATGGTGATGATGGCATGACGATGGTGATGATGGCATGATGGTGATTGCGGGGGGGCCTTGCAACCGCTGCATTGAGGGGTTTCGGAGCCAGTAGGAGTCCGCAGTCCCACAGAAGCCATAGGGTGTGCGCAGAGCGCGGGGCGGGGGGGCAATGAACACACACATACACACACGCACGCATGGGCACAGCAGAGGCGGGAGGGGGAAGTTGAAAGGTGGTTGAGGGGATGATGTGGGGGGAGGGGCAAGGAGGGGAGGGGCGGTTGTTGGTTGCGGTGCGGCGGATGTGAGGCAGGAGGGTTGGTAAGGTCAGGGGCTGACGACGACATGACGGTGATGATCGGTGACTGTCAATCTTGATGGGTGATGACGGCGACGACGGCCGAGCGGCCGCCAGCGGTGGTGGCAGTGCAGAACTGTGTGTGTGTGTGTGTGTGTGTTTGTGTATGGGCGTTTGTGACGGTCTCGCAATAGGGCAATAGCCGATCGACACGTGTTCCCCTGCCCCTCCAGAACATGTACTCGTCACGTCCCTTATCATCTTGCCATTTCCCCCCCCCCCCGCCTCTTCCTCTACGGCCTCCAACACCATCGCCACCGCCACCACCACCACTCATATATCACCTATTGGACCCCTTGTTGGATCATCAGGTATTCGTTGGACCGAGCAGCGCGGCATCTGGGGATCTCACCGCAGCAGCAGGAGCCGTTACTGCCGCCGCCGCATCATCATCATCGGCAGCAGTAGGCCTCCCACAGCAGCAGCACCAGCAGCACCAGCAGCATGAGGAGGTCTTCATCACGGATAGCTCAGGTGCCTCATCCGTCGCCTCCGCCCCCCGCGGTGCCGGTTCCGGAGCCGGGGGCTCGGGCGGCGCTGTGCTGCGGTACTACTTCCACATCGGCTCTGTGGACTCGTTCGAGCGCAAGCTGGATGAAGCTCAGCGGGAGCTGGGTATTCCGCCCTCGCAGAGGGTGCCTGTCAAGTGGGTCTTATGGGGCGAGTTGTGGAGCCCCCGGGGGAAAGGGGCGTGGGGGAAAAGGGAGGAAAGGGAAGGGAAGGGGAAGATTATAAAAAAAGGAGTGAGAAGATGAATATATATCTTTAGTGTTAGGCAAGACGTGAAGGAAAGGGTTTTTGGTCTTTGGAGGAGTGAAAGGGTGTGAAATGGCGCTTTTGGGGGAAAATGGGTAAGATATATTATGAGATTGGGCATTTGAATTTTGAATTTGGATATGAAGGCGGGGGGGAAATGTCCAAGAGAGCGTGAAGGCGGGTAAGGCAAGAGTGGTAGGCAAATTTGGATTTAACTGACCCAGGCAGGAGGGATGGCAGTAGGGGAACAGCGGGCAGGAGGCGGAGCGAGTGGGTTATATAATATGGAGACCGGCGGTTAGCTTGCAAGCGGGCGGGGGGATGCGCTACATGGGCAGGGGTTGGGGTTTAGTAGAAATGGAAAACCCATATAGATGATGTGGGTTGTTGGGGGGGTGGTGGGGGAAAAGGGAGGAGAGAGGAAAGTAATGTGCCGCATCGCTATCAGTGCAGCACCGCCTGGTCAGCTGGGGGTGAGTGGGTGGGGGGTAAAGCGGTGAAGAAGAGAAAGACTGCGCGCGGGCTGCGGAGCCCCCTAGACAAGCTAGAGCTACATACCCCCCCCCCCCGACGATGAATGAACGGTTCCATCTAACGGTTTTTTTACCGCTCGTCTTCCTCAGGTATGTGGACGAAGTCAGCTTGGTGAATGTGCTTCTGGAGGTGGCCCCCACGCTGCTGCTCATGGGCGCCACCTACTGGTTCATCAGCCGGCAGATGCGGCAGATGACCGGGATGGGGGGCCTGGGGCGCGGAGGTCTGGGAGGGCGAGGAGGCAGGGGGGGCATGGGCGGACCTGGGGGCTTTTTCGGAATGGTGAGTAGGGGTGGGCGAAGAGGGGGAGGGGGAGGGACGAAGAT